ACACGTTTCCTTCAAAGAAAACACACAAAAAAACAATTAATTTTACAGCAGTGCGATTCACCGGAAGCACCCGTCGTGAACGGAGGAGATGCCTGCTCCTCCGCGTGCGAGCAGCCGTCGATGAAGCTTCTTGGCGCGTGCTGGTGCACGCCGGTTCTTCACTATTCACCTTATTTCGGGTAAAGCTCATCACGAGGGCGCCACCAGTCCCTCAAACCGGAAAGGGTCCCCGGAGACTTCCGGTCGGTCTCGCTCTGCGGCTTTTCTCCGCTGTGCCCGCGACGCAGCTTGTCTTTCGTTTCGTAAGTTTCTTGTCTTTTCGCGATTAGATTAAACTCTCCGACCGATATGTATTCGCAAACGAACCGTCTACTGCCAAGCAAGGGAACGTGTTGCAGCGTCCCTGGTTGCAGCCTGCGTTCGGGGACCAACTTACTTTCCACTGTGAGAATGCACCGCTTTCCGGCAGACCCCGAGCGCAGAGCTTCGTGGCTGCAAGCCATGAAGAGGGACAAGTGGAAACCGAACGACCACAGCCGAATATGCTCCGCCCATTTCATACAAGGTGAGCCACTAAGGTTTTTATTTGTTTAGAGTGGTGATTTACACATCCAGCGCTGTCCAAAACACATTAAAAAAAAAACGGAAATACGAGCGTTCCGTCAAGACAGAAGGGTAGCAGCCGGTCAAGTTTCGTTCAAGGTTCCGGTAGTTTCCTCGCTTTAGAAGCCTACCGCTTGATTTTGCTTGCCGCAGCCGCTATTTCGATCCCTGGTTCGCACGGATCGGGCGATTAGGTCCGGTAACGAGTGTTCCGCGGCGCCTCTAGGAATCGCGGATTTGCATTTGCCGCTATGGCTAAAGTTCACGGTCGGATGTGTCAACACCGATGTGAAAACAAAGGAGGAAAACGCAGCATTCCCAGTTGTGCGTCGCATGCCTTCACTTTTTTTTTTTTTTTACATTTTAAAATTGTGTGGGTAACAGCGAAAACTCAGAGGCTCGGAGTTTTGTCCTGGTAGAAGTGTAATGGTGACTAGCTTTACGAGCAGAAACACAGGCTTCGAATTAAATTTTGGGGCAAAGCTTAAGTTTTTATTTACGTTCACAACGAGCTGCTCTATGAAGCGGTGTGTACCCACCTTGCCATTTTTGTTTTGAACGCGCAATCATGCAACTGCGAAAGACATGTCCCCACTATGTCTGTCTTTCCCAGCTTGATTTAACTTAAATTTGTCGTATTATTAGTAGTAAAATCTAGCCAATGGTATACACTGCACACTGGCCAACTTCCTGTATGGGTGCCGTGGCATGTTCCAAAACAGGGCGCTCGCCTTAGCAAAGTGTGGATGTACACTCGTCATTTATGTATGCATGAAGTCAATGCACAAAAAGTGGGACTGGAAATGAATGACCTTGTACCCTGTATTCCATATGAACTGATAGGTGTCTTCCTATTCCTTTTACAGGAGCTCCTTCAGACGACCCAGTGCACCCAGATTATGCCCCGTCACGGTTTCTCTATCGAAAGGCACCCACCAGCCAAAATGTGCAAAGGTACAACCGACAACAGGCAAGGTCCACAAAAAGAGGGGCGGCCGAGCCAAAGGATGTTTCGTGTGACCAGGCTCCCACTGACCCAGAAAACATCGAAGCAGTGGTGTGTTCTGAGTCTAGCACCAGATGTGATGTGTCGGTGGCCACCACACTTTCAAGCAAGGACATTGAACATCTGAAAGCAGAAAACGCCAGCCTGAAGACTACCCTTGCTGAAACGCAGCATCAGTTACACGAAACCAGCAAGCTGCTCAAGGAGTACAAGGCTACAAACCTAAATTTGATTGCTGGCATCAACAAAGATTCTGCAACGCAGGCAGCGTTGCACTCAGACACTAGGGTTGAATTTTACACAGGCATTGTGAGCTTACATCTGTTCAATGCACTCCTGACGTTCATTTTGAGTGTGTGGCAGCCCGACGTCACTTGTCTTCTGCCACAGGAGCAGCTTGTGCTGGTGCTGATGAAGTTGAGGCTGGGTTTGTTGAATGAAGACCTCGCATGCAGGTTCAAGGTGTCTGTAACGACAGTTGGCGCAGTATTCCACGCCTGGCTAGACATACTTTCACATAACCTCGGGAAGTTGATTGTATGGCCCTCAAGACGGGCTGTCAGCCGCAACCTGCCAACTGCGTTTGGTGATCCCATCTTCAAGAATGTGATTGGTGTGCTAGACTGCACAGAGATTTTTATACAAAAACCTGCCTACATGCTGGCTCGAAGCCAGACGTATTCCAGGTATAAGCACCATAATACTCTCAAGGTGCTTATTACTGTGTCACCAAGTGGAGTCGTTACTTTCATCTCGGGGGCATGGGGGGGACGGGTTTCCGATAAGGAACTGACGTTGAAGTCTGGGCTCTTGAACCTTGTGAATGAAGGGGATGTGTACCTCGTGGACAGGGGATTTCGATGCCAAGAGATGTTTGCTGCAAAAGGTTCCAGGCTGTTAATACCGGCGTTCACTAAAGGGAAAAATCAGCTTTCGGGTGCGGAGGTAACCCTTTCCCGCAAACTGTCTCGTGCTCGCATCCACGTGGAGCGGGCAATAAGACGTCTCAAAGTGTTCAGGATCTTTCAAATGGTTCTACCAATTTCTTTCTTAAAGAAGCGTGATGATGGCGAGATTTGCACAATTGACAAAGCGTTGATTGTTTGCGCTGCCCTGACAAATCTGCAGCCCCCTCTGCTTAAGAAATAGGTTTGTCGGAGCATTTGTGCTTCAGCAGTGCAGCTGACCCGGATGATTTGTTTTACAGGGTTAGGTTTTTGCAAGAGATTTTGGGAATGAAAATGTGGCTAATTCCTTTACAAAAAGTGTAAGTGTTTCTTTTTTCTTCACAGTATTTTGGTACTGCTATTCTGAAATGATCTTTTTTCTTGAGCATTGAGTGTATGTAATATATCCGTCATGCCCATTTTGCAGCTGACACATCCGTGGTTATCGCTACATGCAAACTCTGTATGAGCACTCGACTTGGAGTTAGTCACTGTCATGAGGGGAATAGCCAAACTCGGAGCGAGTCGAGAGAACACCATGTGCAGCGCGCAGTGGTCACCAAACTTGTACGGGACATTATAACTTTGCATTATTACATGGGAGCACTGTCCTGGCGGGCTTGGTCAAGTTTTGCGGCTGCTCGGGACAAGATTGAAGCAGCCTCTCGTCGTAAGCAGGAAATAAAACTTGATAAGCATGACAGGATAGCTCTTTCATGAGATAGTTTGCAGTTCGCTTATTCCGTATAAGTTTGGTGACCACCGTACATTGGCGTTCCCAGCATGTGGTTATGTTGAACATTAGAGACATAATCAGCACGAGATCAGATGGAGACATGTTTTGCTGGGGGAGTGAGCACTTTTTTTTTCTGCAACTGCTGCTTCGTGGAAAAAAGCTAATATGTATTTTGGCTTACGATTGTCAAAAAGAGTCATTCCGAGTAATATTCAGAAGAGATAAAGAATCATTTCATCGCCCCGTTAAGAGAAGTGAATCCTATAATATGTTCGAACCTAATTTGATTTTTGGTACCAAAATGTTTTGAGCATGCAAACTCGGTATCATTAAGCCAAGTACTGCAACAAAAGTCCGGCAACTTCAGAGTCTATTTTCACCACAAAGCATGAGCAGTGTTTTTTGTACTAACCAGCGTTGCCGACTCAGAAACCAGAAACCCGCACTAAGAATTCCGAAACACCGCCAAATTTAGAATGTTGTGCAAGAATATCTTTTTAACATTTTATTTCCTTTATTAGTTTACGAGATCTATACATATTAAAAATACATTTACAGGTTTCTCTTCTTTCACTTGTTTGACCAAAAGCTGGTGGCAACACAACATATTCAAAGAAAGATGTCAGCGACTTCATCTCCAACGTGGTCTCACAAGTTACGTGTTCCGATGCCCACCACCAATGATGTCGTGAGCGTTCTTCCTACGAACTGTAAAACAAATACAAACATGTGCGCGCAAGTGTCGTGTTCGGCAGTTTTCCACTACAATGTCTCCATGATGTCACGAGTGTTACCCGCACTGTTGCTGTTTGGATGGTGATCTTGACTTGTCTTGACTACTAACCAACTGCTAAATCACAAGGAACTTTTTGCCGATGAAGCACATTTGAAACCGTCAATAAGACATTTGAAACCGCTGGAAACTCCGCCATCCGCAAATAAACAATATCTCTAGCTAAACACACCACTCCGCTAAATCTTGCGAGAAAACTGCTAAATTGACACCACTGGTGCTAACCCACTTGCAATAAACAGTAGGTCTATTTTGCAAGTTTACAAACTAAGCACACCCATGTTATAGGCGTACGTCGCAGTTTCATGCATTTCAGGTGGACGGCTACATTACATACCTTGCATCGTAGGACAGATCCGGACTTCTGTGTTCTACAAATGCACATGGTGTTTTCATCCTCAATTTTTTTCAGCAGTTCTCTGCCATGAATTTCTGGGAAAATGTGACTGAAGTAGAACTCCTCTGCCTCACTGACGGCCGTGTTCCAAAAGCACTAAATAAACTTCACTTCTTCCACATTTATGTCCACATTTGTGAAGACGACAAAGAATGCTCTGGTTGTTTTAACAAGTGCCATCTGCATTTGGACCTGAGCATAACGCAAGTGATCTTCTTTTAGACGTGCGTCAGCATCAAGGTATGGCAGTCTTCCCTTAGCTTCGTCAATTGTAAGGTTTGCACATGATGCCGGACATTTAATCTCCAGTACTGCATCTGTGCAACAACAACAAGACACAACACCATCAGGGGAAGCTCCTAAATATGGCCTCTCGGAATCCACAAACAAACCACACTTCCTGACCTCAAAGCCGCTGTGCTTGGGTGCTTCATCAGCAATGAAGCGATTTCGAGCCTTGACCTCCTCCTCCCTGCCCCATCTTACACTGAACACATCGGGTGTCTTGGTATAGCCCATCACTTGGGAGACAATCCCCTCTGCCCCAGTGCCGCACGAGAGTACTTTTCCAAGTACGGACGCTGTTAATCTGCCCACTCTTTGCCTTGACCACTCGTCCGAGCTAGCCTGAGCGCGTGTGCGGAGTTCCACCTGGTCGCACTCAGTCATTGAGAATGTTGCTTCTCTCGCAGCCGACTCATTAAGTGAACCGTAGAAGCACACCATGTCCACGATAGTCTCAGGCACTTGAAGTGAATCCTCGTCGTCATCGACATCACCACTGGCAGCAGTGTCTGTGTCTTCGCTGTCTGTAAGACTCCTGAGCACCAGTGTGTCGGGTGCCAATTTCTGGAAAGGGTCATTGGTCGATTATAGTGTCACCTCAATATTTACGGGTCAAAACAAATGAGGCTACATCTCTACATTCCGAGCAAAGTAACCTGTTGACATTCTATTATGTGCCCTTGAGAGCCTGCAATTTGTAGTTTGTATCAAGGCGTCAACCTAACAATGAACCACAATTTACGACATCAAGTGTGCATTTGCACCCGTTCTACAATGTCGTCTTGTTAACACGAGAGGGCTAGAGGTCCCTCCTTGATTTTAAAGAAAGCCGGTTTCACCACCTAAGTTATCGCCACAATTTGTCTCCTTGCTCGTGTTTTTCTATTATGGTGTCATGAATAGTAAGTACCTTTACTGCCTTGAGGAAGTCCTTGAGTTGTTCTGCTCTTGCCTCTGGGTGAGACGAGACTTCTTTGGGTGTTGAGACTGTGTTTATCCGCCTCTTCTTTGATGGCTTGATGAAGTCGATTGAAGCCACTCGACTAGCCTGCAGTATTGCATGAAATATTTGACAGCTTACCTCTGTCAGACGGTCATTTAAAAGGCATTCATAACAAACTCCTTTAAAAAATTGACGAATCAGCTCATGATATTGACTGCATGTGCCTTTCGGCGTACGCTAGTTCGCCAATTTTTTAAAGTAGTTTGTTCTGAAGGATTTTAAAATGACCGTCTGGCATTGGCTGCTTTGGGCACAAGAATATGCTTCCCGCTAAATCAAAGAAGGCCAGGGAAAAAAAAAACATTAACACGGAAGCATGCACTGAATGCATACCTGAGCAGTGGAAGATGCTGTAATCCAGCGGCATTCCACAGAGGTTGAGCTTGGGTCATGAATGCCGAACTTCACATCAACTTCGACGCGAAACAGGAGCGCGGCTACGTGACTGCAGGCCTCGCCGAGCCTGTAAGCACACAATGATTTGGAACGTGAGGGGCCGTGTGGTTGCGATCCGATAGCGATCAAAATTAACGGAAAAAAACGAACTACTCACCCTGCCATGCAGGTGCAGTGGGCGCTTTGGACTGTGCCCTCTTTCTTCACCACGACCCAAGGCTGGTGGTACTTTCCAAGAGTCTGACTAGCTTCCACTTGCCCGGTGATGAGAACGATGCGAGCGTTCTCTATCGTAGCCCCAAATGAACAAGCGTCGCATACCTTTCCGCTTAAAAACAGGTTGTAACCGTCTTCTAGTTTGTAACTTTTGAATTGCTCTCTCGTGTAGAAGCATATCCCTTCCACGAGGTAGACGTAGATATCGCCTATTTCTAGTCGCGGCCAGTGGCGAGCGTCCGTGGAGAACACGTTTTTGCGAACATCAGCGTCTAGCGGATCTGGAAGCTCCTCACCTGCGAAGGTCAGCTTTTCACGGTAGCGGTTTCTCGCCGGTTCTTCCAACTTTCTAAAGTAAGAAGAGGACATTTTGTCGGAATAAAGTCATGGAATTCTAGCTAATACGCTGCTTCTCGAACCGGGTAAAAGAAAAAAAACGAACGAGCGACCCGTACGCCTTGCAGCGAAGACGGTCGTGTTTTCAACGCGCCAGCCGCACCGGAAGCCTTGAACCGGAAGTCGTGAGGGGTCTGCCAATGGGAAGCCAGCGGTTGAGTTGTTTACAAACAGAGGTGTGAATAGGGACTCGAGCGAGAAAGCCAATGAGGACAGCGGCGGTCTTGTAAACGCCAACTTCTCGGGAGGCTGGAGCTGGGCGGCCATCTTGCACGCTGACTATATTCCATTCATCCTAAGCTGAGACTGCGGTGGAACCTACGTCCTCAGTGGAGCAGTCATACCTCCCTCTTTCGCCACAGGATCACGCTCCCGCTCATACCCACACGCCGATGACTGGGTCGGGTGATGAAGGGGAGGCGGCTAATTGGTTCGGCGGGCACGTAGTTCCCACTGCAGTCTCAGCTTAGGGCGAAAGAAATATAGGGCAGCATGTCTCAATGCAATGAAATTTCGTATAGTCCGAAACCGGGTACCGCAGAGCGACCGGCCAAATGAAAAAAAAAATCAGACTGTTTGAAAGGTGACTTCTTGCAGGGTAGACTGGTAAACGGAACGATTACGAGCGTTGGAATACTGTGACGAACCTTAGGACTTATTTACTGGCCTTAAAGAACTGGAAAAACACAAGCGCTGGAACACTGTGAAGAACTTCAGAAGCTTATAAAATGCCCTAAAAAACTGAGCGAGCGCGAGCGGAAGAACGTTGTGAAAAACCACAGGGCTCTTTTTCTGCCGACAAAAAGAGTTAAACGATCGAAAGAACGGTATGGGCCGACAGGCTTGGCCGACGCACCACAACGTAGTAGCGGCCGACGCACCTATAGCGGTAGCTGACGCACCGAATTGTAGCGATTTTCTGGTGGAATGGCGACGATGTTAGTGGTTCGACAATCAGGCTGCTACTTGCCAGGAGGAGACATCTAGCAAGGGCCGGTAGATCGGCAGGGCTATGGGTGCCCTGACGGGTGACGAAGCAGAGGTGATGGAAGTTTATGTTTAATGAAGAATAGAACAGAATATCAAAACTGAAGAACACAGACGGCGACAGGGGCACGAGTTGGGGCTTGAAGTGGTGCTCGTGACGGCACATATAGCGCCCGTGACGACTCAACGACCTAGCAAAAACCAATTACTACAAAAAAGCCAAATTTCGGGGTTTTACGTGCCAAACCAACGACGGGCATGTGGCACGCCCCAGCGGAGGGTTGAGCATCAATTTCGACCACTTGGGGATCTTTTGACGTGCAACCGAAAGCTCGGTGACACGGCGTCTTATCCGCAATAAGCCTCCGTCAGATTGCGGACACCTCGGCCGGGATTCGAACCCGCCACAGGGGGATCCGGAGGCCGACGCTCTCGCCTCGGAGCGACCGAGACGGCTAAACAATCACTACGCTGGCACTGAACTGCAACCTGCTACTTAATTGGAGAGTTCTCGTACTACGTACGTACAGCCGGGAGATCACAACCACGCCTTTGCGGCTCAGAAATTCAACCAGTCCGAGATTTCGAAAAACAGTGCGGGCGACAGTCACATACTTCTGAGCATGTTTACCCTACCCATCCTCGGCCTCAGTGTTCAATGGTTCAATGCGATGAAATGGACAACTAGACACTTTTTTTTTTAGATAATCTTTACAATACGACACGCCAAAAAGAATATCCTTACCTCTTTTCGGTAAACTCACGTAGTTGGTTGTGGTTGTGATGCCCACAGCTGCCGAGACCAGTGTTGCTGCTCGCGCTGACAAAATGTTTATTTCACCAATTTATGCAAATCGCACAACAGATGTGATCTTGGCGGTTCTTGAAGGATCACGAAAGCTAAAGAAAATATTATGTACAGTCTTTCTGTAGTTATCTAAGTTACTAATATCACTTATGACTGTGTGCACGTGAATATCGCAGTCGAAAGTGACCCCCCCCCCCCCCCCCCCCCGTTGTCACCTGCAGAAAAGTGAGCATTTTCACAGCGGTTTGGGGTCGTCACTTTGCCGAAAGCCTCATCATTCGCTCTTAGGAGTAGTCAAAGCCTCCAAAACGTCATTTTGACTACCCGCGATAGTCATTTTTTTTAGAGTGTAGAAAAGGGCGAAATTACATAAAAAAACATACCTCAAAGACATTAACAGCAAAAACGCAGTGCCAGTTCGATTTTACATCTAGAATAAATGTATAAAGCAGAGCACCCAGGCAGTCCCATCATGTCTGGATCAGGAAACCTCACGGAATCAACATCTAGCACCATTTTTAATGTGATTAGGAACATGCCACTCAGCTCCCATCGCACATCCAGGACATAAAACACTGAAAACATTTTTTAAAAATATTGTTTGTGATGTTTTGTTTATATGCGATCGACCTGTCGTCGTTATATACAAAAATTTATTACAACGACCACATAGAAGCCCTTGTAAATTCGTACGACGCTCACAAGAGTGATTAGTTACCTGATAACCATTTCGAGCCTGCCTTCTTGTGCCTTGTGTATGCGTTATAAATAGCTTTGACTTCAATGGAATTTCTCGCCTCAAATTAGCAATACTGCAGTTGGTTACGTTGTTGACACCTGACTTTGCTAATATGTTAATGGGAAACTTAGAATCCAACGTTTTATCATCCCATTCACTCAAACCTTTTTTAAATATTTTAATAAAATGCATGTATTGGCGATATATTTCTTATCTGGTCTTATTCAGAGGAACTTGTAGAGTTCATTCGAGCTTTTAATTTAACGCAAGTCTACATTTGTTAATACGAAAGTATTAACTGTTCCATGGAGCGAACCGGCGTTATCAGCTTTTCAAGCCGCGCCTAATAGCACCTAAGTTATCCTCTCCGATGGAGCGAAGCCTCTAGTCTGTAGCAGCGACTTGATGGATATACCCAAATTGGCTGGCAAACGGCATAGTTTCAAGGAACGCCACCCCACCCTCATTTCGCAGCGGTCCGGTTGCCGGTAAGAGTGAGCGGGTGGCCGGGTTCTGAAGAGGCGGCCGGCAACTGGTAGGAAAACGCTCCGTATTTGAATGCTTTTGCATTCCAGCAAGTTAGCAGTCTTAAAAAAGCAATGCAACGTTTTAATTTTGTTTTTTTAATGCATTAGAACAGACTCCTAACGTTAATGACCTGTGAAACACGCGTTCGTTTTTCACCGTATGCAATCGAAGTCGCAGAAAAAAATAAAGAAAAACAAGGAGGGTTCATTCCATCAACTCGCAGCCAGAAAAAGCCGCCACGAGATTTGGAGCCGATTTTATGCCGTCAATGTTGATCATAGCCACGCGCTGGGGTTGGCAATGCACACGACACACGCTGATTTCCAGACGTTGTTTTGGTTCGACTGTTGGCGTCATCGCAGCGATTAGACACGGGCCACCATCCTAATGTTTCTCGAGCTATCGATTATCACGAGCCCAAATTGAGTGCTTACGTATGCTCGGATTCATTTTATGAGCTGGAATAAAATATCCTCACTAGGCGGTACTGCTATCGCCCAGCTACGTCATCAAGGTTTGCAAAGCAGATATTATATGAACATGCTCGCTTTTGTTTTTGAAATTCCACGGCAACAAAGGAGTTTCTCGGCCAGTGGCGTTGCGTGCGAGTATCCTTGAGTCCCACTACTGCCAGTAAGCTCGTGTAGAGCGAAAAACATTCCAATGAAAGATCGTTGCTCCGCCCCCTTTTCAAGCTCTGAGATAACCTCTCCAGAAACAAGGGTGCCAATTAGTGACTCCAACTTGGCCACTTCACTGTACCGAAAACCAACGGAGGGTCAGAAATATTTCCACTATGACAGCTGTCACCCACGGCCCTGCCAAAATACCTTACTTTACAAATACGCTCATAGGGTAAAACGGATATGTTCAAACAACGATTAAAAAAAAAACATCGATCAATCAAGGCAAGTTCTGAAAGAACAGAAGTATCCGGAAAAGATCAGGGATGATGTGGTCAACAAGGCACAGGCCCTGGATTGTAGCCGCTTGCTAAGTGAGCGGAGCCCTCAGACAGAGGAGCGTCGCGCGAACCTCCTCCTTAACTTTTAACAATAGGTCTCAGAACGCCGCAATAACATAATAAGCATTTCACAGTTTACAGCAAAGTAAACGCCTCGCATTAATTTTTCCTTCCCCGAGTAGTCTAGAGGAGCTCAGGCAATCTTAAGGACGCCATGGTTGGGTCTTTGTTTAGGTCTTCAATATATTTAGGCTACCATCTGAGTAAGTCAGAAATTACGACAGTCAGGTAAGAAGACTTGAAGGGTACTGTCTCCGAGGTGTAATGAAACCTTTGAGCGCTACGTGTTCCGGACGCAGCGAAAAGATAAAGAAGAGCCATTCGAACAGTTCTACCGGGACATACAGCTGAAGGCGAGGAGTTGCGAATTCGGAGAACTAACGGACGCATTGGTGCGTGACGAGGTTGTTTACAAAACGTCAAATAGGACGCTTCGAGAGAACCTCCTGCGAAAGAAGGATGTAACCTTAGAAATGGGAGTCAAATTTTGCAAGGCCGAAGAAATAGCCGATATTCACAGCAAAGCATGGAGTGCCGCAACGCCTGTCAGGAAGAAGAGGGTCGGAACGATGGAGGTGGAACCCGTTGAGAGAAACAAGAGTGGAAGTAAGATCAGGGGAAGGCTGGGTGGTAAGAAAACATGTGGTTTTGCACCCATGTTCACAAACCTCGACATTGCCCAGCTCATGGTAAGATGTGCTCAAAGTGCACAAAAGAGAATCATTTTGCAACACGCCGTAAACCCAAGCCGGCTGGTGTCCACGATGTCGAAGAAGCCATTGAGGGACACAGAGCAATTTATGCCTTCGAAATTCTAAGAGGCCGCAGCTCGCGACTTGAAGGTACCCGTGACTCAACAATCACAACGTTGATAGAAGGAACAAAAG